TTTTTTGGACTTACCTCAGAAGATTGTTTTCTGTTGATTTTATGTTCCATTTTGGTAAGTGTTTTTCTTTTTGTTTTGATTTTTGTCAATAGATGGGTACACATGCCATTCTTTGCTGACACGGTCATTGGATGCTATGTACGCATTGGGATAGGTTCCAATGGAGGTCGACCGATATATAGAGTAGGTGTGCTTTGATGTCTCTCAGCTCTGACAAGTCATGGTCAACTTGTATTTGACCTTGTGTTTTGATGCTTCTGGATTTTGTGCACAATTGTTCCTTCAGTGAGTGAAATGCAGTGGATATGTGTAGGCCTAATACGTTCTCATCAGTGGGTCGCAGAAAGCAATGTACAATTTTCCCATTGTCACATGTTCACTGTGTTGGACTGGATGCAATGTTTACGAGGAAATGGTAGCGTCTGATTGGTTCCCAGGACATAAGGTCACATTTTATCAGCCAGTAGCATATTACGTAAAAGACTGCTCAGGCTTTCTGTGTAATCGTAGACTAGAGATTTCATCACTTATAGTGGATGGGTTTTGAAGAGAAACAGTCAGTTGAATTTTGGATTCTGAGTGAAGTTGGCTTAATTGGTGTAACGAGTAGTAGTTAGTGGGAAACTTCACTTTATTAAGCCTTTTTACCCCTTTTTAATGTGCTATTTTGTTTGTTTGCATGGGAAAAATTATTTTTTGCTTGAGTTTTTGGGGGTGATATGATGAGATTCTGTTATTAGATCCAGGTGTTGTCTGGAAATCCTTGTTTTACAACAGGCTGTGAAAGCTTTACCAGAGTTTGAAAACAGGTATGGCACTTGTCAAAGAAGTAATTTTTACCAATGGAAAATGTTGCCAAACTTATCCAGTTTCTCCCACTGGGCTGTGTTCAGGTCGCAGAAATCACAGAATGTGTGGAGACGGCCAAAATCTACCAGTTGGGAAGCAACCGCACAAACAAGGGACTCAGACTTAGGTAAACTACACCAAACCTTTCTCCCCTGTTCAAACTGTAAAAATATATGCTCCAAGCCGGAACAAGAGAGGGCATGTTTTTTTACGCATCAACGCCAGTCCTTTGGTAGGTTTATGCGCATTTGGCACGGAATTCAGGGAACATGCACAACCAATTTCTGCGTGAATTGAACCATCATCGTGTGTCCAATGGGCGTGTGATTGCGTCTGGTTGGAAACTTCCCACCAGCCTGTTTTTTCCTTTCTGGTGAGAGTGCACTTCTAATCAAGGTGGATATTTCAGCTTTGTTCACTTTGCCATATGAATTCTCAATGTGTCTCGGAGACACTTTCTCACTTGATTCATCCACTATAAATTTCCTTGCTCACTTTTCTTGTAAGCCGTTGGCATCCGTATTTCTATTCCTTTCTTGCAGCCCAATCTGTTGAGTTCACCAAATGCAAAGAAAGAACTGGTTGCTTTTCTTCCGAAACTCTACATGTACATTTTAGTATCGCGTTGTTGGCAGCAATCTCATCAGTTTTTTGCCGTCATACACATTTGATGTTTTTTTTCCAAGGTATGCCACTCAAGAAAGGGTGTTTCGTCTGGAGTTTGTCTCCAATCAAGATTTCACGGACTCTGAGTTCAACAAATGGAAGGAGGATGTAAGTTCTTACTATAAATGGGAACTTTCCCTGGGCGAAATCCGTGTTACAGTCTTCCCCTTACAGGTCATCCTTGAAAGCTTGTTGATTTCAACCGTCCGCCATTTTTTCTTCTCCTCATACTTATCCACCATTGACAAATCTTAACTCTTACCATTCCAAATCTACTGAAATCAGTATCACATTTTGATGGTTTCTGGTGGAATTAGGAATTAACAGCCAAGGCGTCAATTTCACAAAGCACCATTCTTGTGGAGTCATTCTTGATGGATGAAACATTTTAGATGTGGTATTATTTTTACGAACTTCAGTTGCGCTTAAACATTCATGGTAACATATCAAATGTTGCAATGACACCGATGTTTTGGTTGTGGCTTGAATTCATGTTTTCGTTTCTGCAACTAAATTCCTTGTGTCCAGACTGTTAAACTTAACTGAAATCTCTCCCACAAAAGCCTCAAATATCCCTCTTTAAAAAAAGGTAGAAAACTTCTGACATAAAAAGATGGATTTTTGTCATCTATTTGGATTCAATGATTTGATTTTCCTATCGCTGACGTATGTTTATAAACATTCCTCAGTATTGTCCAAAGGCTTGTGAAAAACTTACTCAAGTGGGACTCAAACCCAAGACCGCCTGCTTACTAGTACAGATGTCTTACCACTCAACCACTAAACTTACCGTGGTTGGCTAACCGGTTAGAGTCAGATGAGAGGTGGGTGTGGATACTATGCCAAGCATTTGTATAGGATTGAATGTTTGTCTTCATTTGCTGGCTGTCCAGATGATGGTGGGTGGTTTCCAGTTACCGACAACCAGGGAAGTCGATACTAAGTACAGCCAGATCAAGAAAGCACTATCGTACAGCTACAAGGAGGACGACATAGAGAAGGTGAAGAGGAAGTGTATGAATAGTGATTGATTGATTGATTGATTGATTGGCTGTAGTGGTGGAAATGCTGTCGTATAATGTGGTTGATTACTTCTCCTGTGCTTACTTGTGCAAGCGTGATTGCGTTATATTTGAAACACGTGTGACTTCTCATGCATACTCGGACCTGGTTCAAGTAACCAACCCAAAGGGCCAGCTACTTGGGAATGTATCCCGTAAGATAATGTGAAAACATAGCGGCTAAGTCAAACAACGTGAATGGAAATTGACATATAAATCATTGTGAATAGTTCTGAAAATGGTTCCATACTAGCGGCAATTTACCTCAAGTCAAGTAAGTTCTGTGAAAGGAAGTCTAGAAATGTATGTGTGCATGTTCATTGCTTTCCACAGTTCAAATTCTTGTTGCAAATTTAATTATTTTCTCAACTCTTGAGTGACCCAGGATTGTTTTTTATTACCAAATATTATACAGTCGTTTGCAAAAATTTAGGACCACCCGTACAAAATGTATTTACCTGAAGAATTATACAGTCGTTTGCAAAAATTTAGGACCACCCGTACAAAATGTATTTACCTCAAGAATTATACAGTCGTTTGCAAAAATTTAGGACCACCCGTACAAAATGTATTTACCTGAAGAAAAACCAAACTTAAACCAATCAATCATGGTAACTTACCTTTATTTTCAATGTGTAATCTTAGTATCTTAGCCAAACAGCTATTTGACATGATTTGAAATGTTAACAGTCTAATGCTTAGCGTGCCCTCCTTTATTGCTGATTATTTAGACTGGCTTTTTTTTACCCATGATGCCTTACAGACAAAATGTCATACAAGACCTGCCTTTGCAAAAAATGTCACCCAAACGGGTATATAGCACTACACTGATGTTATGCACCAATATAAAAAACATGTCAAGTCATTATTCAATGAGGCAATGTTATCCCAGGTGGTCTTAAACTTTTACAAATGACTGTACATTCCTGTCTAGAGCTGCAACAACGCCATGTTAGTATTAGGAAGTAATCAAATGCTTTGTTTGTAGAAACTGTTTAGGGAGTAAGATGTGGGTTTGGACTGTTACTGTGTGATAATACCGTCAAGGTATAAACTGTGCTCTAACTCGTAGACTGGTTTCAGTCCATACTTTTAGAAATATAAGGTAGGAATTGACCTATTGTAGAATTAGGTCAATGCAATATGTGGAATATTGTCCAGTCACATGGTGTGTAAAATGAACACGAAATCTGAGACAAGAAACATTCAACGTGCAAAATTCCGTATATGGTTATCTGAGGGGCGTGGCTAACTTACTAATGGCGATATGTCAATAAGCCTTCTGCAAGTTAAATTTGAAAAAATTCGTGAACATTTAGTTCTTTAAATTCTTTGAACATAATTTGTATTTTCCATATTAAAGACACTGTTGGGCAAACTTTTGCTTAGTTACTTAGAGATGTTTTGTACCAATGCACTATTTTCAGTGGTCAGTGGATAAGAAAAGGACAAATGAACCGGTCCATTTCAGAGATGGTCGTTACTAAGCAAAAACGTGCCCCGAATCATAGTTTATAGCAACAGTGTATTTAGTCTGAGGAATTCAAATTATGTTTATGTGCTATCAGATAACTCAGTGTACCAGATCTTATTCAAATTAAACTCACAAAGGCTTATTGGAAGCCAACGTATCCTATGCAAAGATTGTTGGGCTTGGCCTTGTCTGAATCAACTGGCTAGAGTTGGGATTTAAACACGAGTATATTTGCAGTGGCTATGCCACCTAGCCATTGGCTACCATGGGCACAAGTGTTTTTTTCTAGCCTCTGCCTTAACATTTGAACGCAGCCTTGTCCATGTAGTTGGCTACATAGCGCCCTCTACACTTCATGTACACGGCCAGAGATCTCTGCCAGGGTTTCCATATTGTTTACCCTTGCTCTTTCTCAGGTGTCATTTCCTTTTTTGTTCAGATTGTATCCGAGAAGGAACGTTTCCGAAGAAATCCCCGGAACTACGCCATGAAGAAAACCACACTCATAAAGACAAGGGTTCGTTCTCAATTAAATCAGTTTAAAAACATTTTTACTTAAAATATTATACTCAATTTTAACACTTGTTTGGTATAAAACTATAAACTTTCTCAAAAATTCTCCTTCTACCCAGTGGATGAAATATGTATGATAAAAATTTGCATGTCACAAAATAAACAATAAACTTGTAAGTTAGGGAGTAATATCTTCCCAAAATGTCCTTGTGTAGTACTAATGGCAGTGGAGGTAGATTGAGGGTCATGTGCCCAGCAGCGAAATGACGGTGTCAGGGGATCAATATCCACGGGTAGATTTGACTGATGACTATAATGGGTGAAAATCAGTTTACTTTAGAGGAAACAAGATAAGGAAAAATCTTGAGAGGTCATTTTTTGAGACAGGTGTTTGTTTGTGATCTTCAGGATATGGCTGCAGAAGAAGGCAGGGAGGAAGACTACAAGAAATATGCTCAGGAACTAGAGGAACTGGAGGAGAGAGCCGAGGAACTTGATCGTGTCCGCAACAAGAACGTCACGGCTATCACGTAAGGAGCTGCTTTTTTTCTTTCTTTGACTGGTTGTGGATGGCGTTATTCCACAATGAACTTGTTCCCAGGCGCTGTATCATTTTGGGCCAAAAATACAGACTTGATAATGATAAGACACCACATCACTTTCCTTTACAAATGGACTTTACAAATGCTGACCCTCGATGGTCATTTGTCCAAAATTTTTGCAGAACCCCATATTGTATCATCGCTTTTTTACACTCTGAGACAATGGTATTTGCTTATAACACTTGGCTGTGGACCACACAGCCACATGAGGGCTCCCCACACTCTCAACTTTCAGACATGTTCAGGCCACTGTGTGCGCACAAAACTAATGGGAATCACTCAAGTTTCAGACAGTTACAGATGTCATCCATTCCTGTGCCGCAATTTGTTTACATGTCTGCCCAGGTACGTGGCTCAGAAAATCTTTGGGTATAAATCCTCTGGCTTGAAGTGGTTACTGAGTTTCTACAACATAGGGATGACCAACACGCAATGCTGTCTCCTTGAAGAGGCTGTTTTTGAAACGAGCATGGCCACTATTGTTGCATTTGTGGAAACCTTGGGCATGTCACGCTCGTTGGAACAGATTTTCCGATCTAGGAACTTTTTGTCGTGGTGGTTTAACCTTAACCTTGACAGTGCCATTATTCAGACTATGTGGGTGCTGAATGATGGGCCCGGACAAATGGGTTGTAATCCCTGTCCTTTCCTGCAGGTATATCAATCAGAGGAACCGTACACGGAACATTGCCGAGGCTGAGAGAGCGATGAAGGAGGAAATCAAAGAATCACAGAATGCTAAGGCTGACCCCTTCACCAGGAGGCAGTGCCGACCAATGCTGGTTACCAAGGTAAAGAACCTCTGGCAAATCTTGAACATAGTTTTTTTTTGGGGGGGGCAAAACCGCTTAGGAGCCAAACATTTTGATATTTCTACATGTAACTTTTTGATGGCCTTTCTGAAGGGGGAAGCTACATTTTAGGGCTTATTGCACCCTTATATAGAAGAAATTGGAAAACTCCTCATTATTTTTTGTCAATTTTTTCAAAAAAAAAAAAATGTTTGCTTCCTGGGAGGGGGTATACGCAGCAGGTGTTGTTTCAAACTCCAAATTATTGGGGGAGACTAAAAACAGATCTAATTTGGAGTCAGTTTGACAAAAGTTTCTTCAGTACTGCATCTTCTCCTCAGTTTTGGTATATGTTGCTAAATTTTGTATCGATTCTGGGATACCACTAAATTTTGTATCAATATCGGGATATTGAGTTCACTTAAATGCTTCAGGATTTTTGTCAAATTTATTTTTCACGGCAGCCAAGGAGCCATTGCTTGTTGTAGATTTAGCTTGGACTCCAGCATACAAACTCTCCTGATATAAAGTACACATACTTTAACATTTTAAGTCATCCTTCATCCAGAAAATCATTCTGGAAAGCCCTCCTAAGATGATGATTTTAGTAATGATGTGTTGCAATCAATCAAATGCTCGGCAAAAGCAATGTAATGTACTGACTGTAATATAACGCGCCGCTCTTAAGAATGTGGTGTGGTGACAGAGACCCGTATTGTTGCCTGTTTATGTAGCTAACAAGGAGTCATGGATCAGTCTCCTCTGCCTAAAAGTACCCTAAGCCCTCCAGTATTGTTTTGTGGTTTGTCCAATAGGCTGCCAGGGATGAAGCCATTATGAATTCAGCTTTACTGAAGAAGTTGGAAGAAGAACGTATCAAGAAACAGAAACAAGATGAAGCCATGAAGGTAATTCAAATCATGTTACGTCAAGCCACTGTTGGCTACCACAGGGTATCTTCCGCACATGAGCTTTGTCTGCATCGTTGGCTTCAGGCTCCAGCTAACTTCACCTTCATTCTGTGGTATTCACAGATCAGACTGCCGTATCCGAAGCCAAAGGTTGGACAATTTTCATTCGTTTCCAGTGATTAATATTTGTGAAATATGAAAATGATTCTTCGGTCCAAGATAAACCCGCTGCCAAAGGCAAAGCCCATATTTGGGATATGGTTACAGAGTTTCTTGTTGCAAAGTCCAAGTACATAATACATTGACACTTGGACGAAAGTCTTATTTTCTATTGGTCAAGAGCATTTTAGACCAATACAAAAATCAGAATGTATGCTGGTGTAGATTAGTGTCTAGAAAATTCAATTGTACACTTGTACAGCCACATGTATGTTCATAACTTTGTAATGTAGATATCGCCTACACAGATCAGTGTGTGGATGTATAACAGAAATGTCTTCTGTCCTCTCTCTGCAGGACGATATTTTGAATGCGCTGTCTCAAGAGGGGCTTCCGGCCAAGATCACAGATAGGAAAGTATCGGAAGACCTCTTCCAAGCTCATGATTTTGACATCAAGATTGACTTAGATGTGTCCACTTCAGGTAAGGGTTGATGGTGTTTCTCATTGGTTCATCTTAATGTTACGATTTAATAAAGCACACGTATCTATCATCTGGTGCTCAAGGTGTCAGATTATTACTGACCCTGTTCACCGAACTCATAAACATTCCTAAAACCTTCTGAGCTCCCTGGGGAGTGTATGACTCCAGTGAGCAAAGTCAGTAATAATGTTACACCTTGAGCTCCAAACGATGGATATGCGTCCACAAATGAAAATAGGTAGACCACAGACATTCAGTGCAAAACCTAGCACGACAAAGGTATATGTGATAGATACATTATGAGCATTCAGTTTAAGTGGCTGCGAAGGGATGGGAAAACTGGGCACTATGTGAAAATGGCAAATGAACTCTCACAAGCAACTATTAAATCAAGCACAAGAACCATCTCTACCCTCATAGGTGCTCATCAACCCCAACGCGGAGAGAGGCAGGTGGAAGTAAAGTGACTTGCTTAAGGTCACAACATGTCACCAGCAGCTTGATTCGAGCCCCTTAGCCTTTGTTTTGGAGTTAACAAACCCTAACCAGCAGGCCACACACCTCCTTGTCTAGGTTTGCTCCGTCCTGGCACCCCCCGTCTTCTAGGTTTGCTCCGTCGCGGCACCCCCCATCTTCTAGGTTTGCTCCATCACAGCACCCCCCATC